TATATATATGCAGCTCCTACACTTCATGTATCGCTCTTGCTTGACAACGGTACAAGAATCTGTATCGAAACGTCGCACTCACGAAATAAAGAAGTTGTTATCCATAAAAACTTGTTCTATATGGTTTATGATACATTTGTTAATTGTGTATAATTACTTTGATTTCTTTCTCACTGTATTTGTGTCTTGTACATATCTGATTTTACTTCTGAACTCACCAATCATGTAACGAGGAGAGACAGAAGGGTGAAGTTCATAACTAGAATGGCGTCAGCCGTGCATACACAGAATACGACACTGTCCAGTTTATCCGCCAGTTGAGGAAAGTCGGTGAACTCCTCCGGGTCACGTTCCGAGCCACCATCACCAGCGTCTGTCGTAGTGGCTGGCTGTACAACCTTCTTCCGTCCTTTCTTCAGGAGGACAAGTGCCAGGATCCGCGTCAGTCTGTTGTGCTTGTATCTCTGACTTAGCCGTTGTGAAACAATGCAGTAGACCACGATCCCTGAACTGAACAGGAACTGCATGTAGACGAGGACTGTGAAGACTGGAATGCCCTGGGACGACTGTGGTAGCAGATCAGCGAGGAGGGTGATGAAGATCGTGAAGGACAGGAAGAGGGTGACAGCGGTTGACGTCTTCTCCCCGCTATTGGACCTGACCAGGATCACACAAGGATTGACGACAGCAACAATAAACAGGGGCAGTATCAGACAGAAGATATAGTAACCTCCATGACGTCGCAGGGTCAGCGATACAGTCACTCCACTCTTGGGTCTGTGTTCGCCAAGGGTTACTCTCTTGGCGGAGGACGTTGTCAACATCCACTCACCTGTCTTGATGGCTTTCTCGTCGGTGAAGGTCACGTCACTGATGTTGACGTCAACTTCCCCATGATAGGCGGTGGTTAGAGTGACCGAACACGTGTGTTTATCAAATGGGAACCTTGTGAGTGAAACCGGACACGGTGTTCTTGTCTCCAGATCAATAAACCACTCGACCTTGCCATCAGGATAAACCTGCAAAATAGCTGTGTTTAAAAATGTCCTTGTTAAATTTTATCGAAAAGAAAAGACTGGAGTATCCTATGATTACTTGTATCTTCATCCTTTCATTGATCCACAAGTGAGAGTAGGGGTGTGTGTGTGTGTGTGTGTGTGTGTGTGTGTGTGTGTGTGTGTGTGTGTGTGTGTGTGTGTGTGTGTGTGTGTGTGTGTGTGTGTGTGTGTGTGTGTGTGTGTGTGTGTGTGTGTGTGTGTGTGTGTGTGTGTGTGTGTGTGTGTGTGTCGGAGTGCAATATCACATTAAAACCTGAATGCGACGTGTGTCCAGGGCGAGGCAACACTTCAACCATTAGGCTTTCCGAACTCCCCTTACAGAGCCTATAATGGGCAACCTACCTGTAGAGTTTTGTCAGCGTCGCCGAGGATGTCCTCGCTCCTGTGGGCGTTGAGGACGTGAACATCTGGAACCCATATTTTACGTCTTGGAAAGTTAATCGCTCTTACATCTGTGTACTGATCGGCATTCCACGTCAACCTCTCGTCCGTCCACGTGACCACGAGCTCCAACCACGTGACCAAACTTTCACTGGTCAAGTCGAGGGTGACGATATTGGATACTGCAATGTCCATGTTGACCAACACTGTCCGTGATGAGTCGTTGACAGGTCGGAGGTTGGGTCGGTAGTAGGTGAGGAGACTGTCGTGGAGGTGTTGCAAGTCTGTGTAGTTAGCCCCGTCACAGACAGTGATGGTGTAAAGAAGCCCTAGCAATGGGACCGTCGCACAATGCATTTGAAATGTTTGGTCACAACGGGTAGCGCTTGACCGGCGTATGTAGTGATCCACTGGACCGTCTTCAGTGTCTGTTACAAGAGGCTGCTTCTGCTGCTGTACAGGTAGAACGTCCACTGTCACCAGACCAATCTGCTGCTGTACAGGTAGAACGTCCACTGTTACCAGAGGCTGCTTCTGCTGCTGTACAGGTAGAACGTCCACTGTCACCAGACCAATCTGCTGCTGTACAGGTAGAACGTCCACTGCCACCAGAGGCTGCTTCTGCTGCTGTACAGGTAGAACGTCCACTGTCACCAGAGGTTGCTTCTGATGCTGTACAGGTAGAACGTCCACTGTCACCAGAGGCTGCTTCTGCTGCTGTACAGGTAGAACGTCCACTGTCACCAGAGGCTGCTTCTGCTGCTGTACAGGTAGAACGTCCACTGTCACCAGAGACTGCTTCTGCTGCTGTACAGGTAGAACGTCCACTGTCACCAGAGGCTGCTTCTGCTGCTGTACAGGTAGAACGTCCACTGTCACCAGAGGCTGCTTCTGCTGCTGTACAGGTAGAACGTCCACTGTCACCAGAGGCTGCTTCTGCTGCTGTACAGGTAGAACGTCCACTGTCACCAGATGCTGCTTCTGCTGCTGTACAGGTAGAACGTCCACTGTTACCAGAGGCTGCATCTGCTGCTGTACAGGTAGAACGTCCACTGTTACCAGACCAATCTGCTGCTGTACAGGTAGAACGTCCACTGTCACCAGAGGCTGCTTCTGCTGCTGTACAGGTAGAACGTCCCCTGTCACCAGACCAATCTGCTGAACAGTTTGATTCCGTCAACTCAGTCGGACAAATGCCTATAACCTAATGGACTGTTAGGAACACTGCATTAGAATTTAATAGCACGGTCTAATATTGTTGACAATCCTCTCGTGTTTCCTATTCAAGCACAGTATTAATGGTAGGAATTATTTCAGACGTAGTGTTCGTCTAACAGTATTGACAGACGTTTTAACACACGTTCTTGTGATACAAACATGTCAGTTTCAACGTGATAGGCTTTAAGTGCTGTATTCGTGTAAGCCAGGATGAAATAAAACACGGAAGGAATATATATCTGTGTTTGTAATGGGTTGGTAGGATCATGGTATACATTGTGTGCCTGGTTTAATGAGTGGGTGCAGTTGAAGTTCTGTATCGTGTCCAAGCAGCGACACATGGATGACCAGCGAGGTCAGAATGTTCAACCCCATCTGAGAGGAAGATCAACAACTTGATCATCCAAATCTGTGTTCCACAGGAGATATTGCTTGTGTGAGATCATATGATATCTTCTAGGATATATCGTTGGTGAGATTCTACATGTACTTCACATGCGCGCCTTGGGCAAAATATGAGTTTAGTTTTACGCCGCATTTAGCAATTATTCAGCAATATTACAGTGGGTGTGTGGGTGTGTGGGTGATACCAGAAATGGGTTTCACACATCGTACCCTTGTGGGGAACTGAACCCAGGTCATCGGCGTGACGAGCGAACGCTTTAACCACTAGGCTACCCCACCGGCACACTTACCCTGGACCGACATTGGCATCATCGTGGAGAGTCTTGTCGTCGTTAGATCAACAGCCATCACTGGGTAGGGCAGAGGGAACGTCGGGATGGTAGACGGTTGTAGCCTGGGGACTAGACATTTTAACCTCTAGGCTTGACCGTTGTACTTTAGAGGGTAGATTGTGTCAAGGGTGGCGGAGTATCAATAGCGTCAATATCGATCAGTCAATGGTGGTGGTGGGTATCAATAGCGTCAATATCGATCAGTCAAGGATAGCGGGGTATCATTAGCGTCAATATCAATCAGTCAAGGAAGGCGGGGTATCATTAGCGCCAATATCAATCAGTCAAGGAAGGCGGGGTATCATTAGCGCCAATATCGATCAGTCAATGGTGGTGGTGGGTATCAATAGCGTCAATATCGATAAGTCAAGGAGGGCGGGGTATCATTAGCAGCAATATCAATCTGTCAATGGTGGCGGTGGGTATCAATAGCGTCAATATCCATCAGTCAAGGATGTCGGGGTGTCATAAGCAGCAAAATTGATCTGTAATTGAACACCTGACTCACTCAATTCCTCTATCATTGAACTCTTCAATCACTTATCTCCTCTATCACTAGTCTCCTCAATCACTAAACACCTCATTCACTGATCTCCTCAATCACTGGACGCCTCAATCACTAAGTTCCGCAATCACTAATCTTCCCAATCACTGATCTCCCCAATCACTGATCCCCTCAATCACTAAATTCCTCAATCACTGAACTCCTCACCCACTAAATTCCTCAATCTCTGATCTCCTCAATCACTTATCTCCTTAATCACTAAGCTCTTCAATCACTGACCTTCTCAAACACTCATGTCCTCAATCACTAATCTCCTCAACCTCCAATCTCCTCATAACTAATCTCCTCAATCACTGATCACCGCAATCACTAATCTCCTCAATCACTAATCTCCTCAATCACTAAACTCTTCGCTCACTAATCTCCTCAGTCACTGATCTCCTCAATCACTAATCTCCTGAATCAGTTATCTCTTCAATCACTGATCTCCTGAATCACTGATCTCCTGAATCACCAATCTCCTGATTCAGTTATCTCCTCAATCACTGATCCCCTCAATCACTGATCTCCTGAATCACCAATCTCCTGATTCAGTTATCTCCTCAATCACTAATCTCCTGAATCAGTTATCTCTTCAATCACTGATCTCCTCAATCACCAATCTCCTGATTCAGTTATCTCCTCAATCACTGATCCCCTCAATCACTGATCTCCTCAATCACTGATCCCCTCAATCACTGATCCCCTCAATCACTGATCTCCTCAATCACTAATCCCCTCAATCACTGATCTCCTCAATGACTAATCCCCTCAATCACTAATCTCCTCAATTACTAAACTCCTTACTCAGTAATCTCCTCAATCACTAATCTACCCAACTATCCTGCAGAATGACTGTATTGACACCGGGTGTCTTTACAATGACAGTTTTGGTATAGTTGGAATATCTGCACATCCTACTATGTTTAGATCTATACACACACGCATTACTTCCATGAGCACCGTGTTGCTGTATTGTGTCAGGGCTCAATGTCTGAAACGTGACGGTGTTGTTGTTGGGGGTCTCTTCCAGTGTCTACATTGGCCTTGCTATTTAGCTTCACTACTTCAAGTTACCTTCAATACTAAACTGTAGTACATAGTAATGGTATTATCTGCACATGCTGCAATGTTAGATCTATACACACACGCATTACGTCAATGAGCCTTGTGTTGCTGTATTGTGTCAGGGCTCACTGCCTTCAGTGGCAGTGTCGTTGTCGTCTCTGTATACTCGGCCTGTACGCATGAGGAGTCGCGGCCGGCTTGTAGATTACGGAAAGGCACGAGTTATACCGAGTGTACTTGAAGCGAAACAAGGAAGTAACAGTTCAGGGTAGTGTGTACAGCTGTCTACTGTGTAAATTCGTCTACCACCTGTCTACCGCCGTCTATCACCGTCTAACGTTCAGTATTCGGCAGTGTGTTGCTGTTGTGTGGCAAGGTAAACTCTGTGTAGTGTTATACTGAGTTTGTCTTGTGCACAGGCCCTGTATTAGTGAGGCGTCTTGTAACCCACCCGGATATCAGAGGAGAAAACTGACACGGGTAAGTGAGCTTCTCTGTCTGTGCTAGATTATTATATTTCAGCACGGTATATTTTCAGTTACAGCACACACGTCACTTACAAATAGATTATAGTATGATTTCTTTACTATATTCCATTTTACGTTTAATTGGACATTCAACAACACCGTCTCCGGCCTCAACACAAACACAGCAACAGAGACAACATAGTACTGGTCTAAGACTTTTTAAGGAATGTGTTATCCGAAATTCCCTAATTTCTCTTTCCATAAACATTCTTCTTTTTTAAGTCCTAATTTCTTTCACGTCTAAAGTCTGTTTTATTTTTCCATTCAAAGCCAAAGCATCATCTGCCAAAACTACTTCCTCAACCATGTAGGTAATCAGTATTGTCTTGACATCGACGTTAAGCATAGCTGATTTGGTGCAAAGTTTCGGCCAGTTGGACCAGTTCAGACATTTGGACCATAGAAACGTGTTCGGGAAAAGGTTGTCCAACAAAATCTGCACTAACCATCATGGCGGCCTTCACACAACATTGTACAGCAAAAAGTTTAGTCAATAAATTTTGAACAATATATTTTAGGCCACTCACAGAAGACGCCAACTATTATGAATGTGTATTAATACTTCATATTACATTATATATTTAACATATTACATTTTATCTGCTTTCCAATGCTTTTGTTAAGCGGGCACATCAACGTTGTTTCGAAATTGAGATTTTTGAAAATTCCATTAAAAATAAATGTTATTTTTAATAATTAAATATTCCTTACTAAATTACTTCGTTTATATATGTAACATTTTAACCATTAAGAGATAAATCATCACATCCCTTCCGAACCAGTGTAAGAATGAAAGTCTGTGGGTGCAGTTTTGTGAAATGTCCCATCAAAGCATCATTAGTGAAGTTACACATTTTGTAAATACATAAAAGTTCAAATAAATTATATACAATTTCACCCTTCAGAAAGACTTGCACAAGACATTTTGATGTGAATTTTCAATGCATGATCTGAGAAAGATTCGCTGTCGCCATACATTATCAGCAACCCCACCCCACCCCACCCCCAAAAAAATAAAATAAAATAAAATAATACACATATGCTGACAATAATATACATATGACACCACCCCCAAAAAAAAAAAAAAAGAGTAATAATAATAATTAAAAAATATAAAAAATATACATATGCTGATAGGGTTAAGAGCTCACTCAGTGCACAATTTACTGATAGAACCATTCAAACGAACAAATGTTTAGAAGAATGTGATATAATTTAAATATTGATAAATTCTACTCGATTTTGTACAGCTGCCCTTAGGGACCGTTCGTAATTTATGGCTATGGGGTGATGATGATTTTTATGGAGAAGCATGTACAATGTGAAACCCAACCCATCGCCCCCAATGTATGTACAAAATAAGTGACCCCCCATCCCTGCATGCCATGTACAAGATCAATGACCGCCCTCCCCTTCCCATAATTTCTAAGCATCATTTTAAACATAGTAAAACGTACGTGTGTACAAAATTGCTGACCCCCTAGCTCCCCGCCCTTAAAATCATCATCATCATCACTATCTTCTCCCCAGAGAAACAAATTGTCGGGAATTATAAAATTTTGACAGTTTTTTTTGATAATATCAAATTTAATGCAATTCACTAATCTAATCTAACGGGTAATTGATGACTTTATACCTAAAATCATTGATGTTTTCATATTCATCAGTTGTCCTGCATTTTTAATCTTTGCTTTCCCTGCTCTCCTAAAGGGGTATCGGCGGCCCCGAACAGTACTTCTTGTGTTGTTCACCGTTATGAATAGGATCTCCATAATAGTCGCTCTTAGAAGTGTAACCGCATTTATAAAAGCGACAAGATCAATTTCCATCGTCATAACATACATCTGCCACACAGCACTCTGTCAGTTCCTCGGGAATGAGTCACACGCAGGTGTGCTGAACAGGTCAAGGTCACCCTGCCCTACCTGTTCGGCAGACAACAAACCAATTCAATAGCAAGGAAATTGTGTACCCCCTAAAAATAACCACGAAAACACTTGATACACTGACAAGGGCCGTCATCACGTCAATTGACAAAACCTTTTGAAATCCACACCAAGGTCCCGAATGCTGTCAATGCAACCAACCAAAGGGACCTAGCTGAAATCCCAAGTCATGATAATTATGGCCATTGTGCCCTTATCAAAGTTTGAGATGATGAAATCCATACTAGTAAATCCGTTACTTGTATTATGTCCAGAGGCAGTTGACAGGCAGATACATCAGACTCAGAATAGGCAGTTGTCCATTAAAATCTCCACCACCATTTCTCCCTTACCTGTTCTGGCGTATGGCTTGAAATCATGTCAGCAAATATTGAAGATGTCAAATCTATTTCAAAGGTGTAGAACTCAAGAGATATGTTGACAGGCAAACATTCCCAATGCCATTTCATCATTTGCAATATATGTACATACTTCAGGCGTGTATTAGACTGTAGAATACATACTGTATTAGACTGTAGAATACATACTGTATTAGACTGTAGAATACATTCAGGCCTGTAGTAGACTGTAGCATACATTCAGGCCTGTAGTGGGGCAGTGGGGTAGTCTAGTGGTTAAAGCGTTGGCTCGTCACGCTGAAGACCCTGGTTCGAATCCCCACATGGGTACAATGAGTGAAGATCATTTCTGGTGTCCCCCGCCGTTATATTGCTGGAATATTGCTAAAAGCGGCGTAAAACTAAACTCAGTCAGTCAGTCAGACCTGTAGTAGACTGTAACATACATTCAGGCCTGTATGAGACTGTAGCATACATTCAGGCCTGTATGAGACTGTAGCATACATTCAGGCCTGTATTAGACTGTTACATTCAATGTATTTATTCCGTTATGTTCAAGCACCATACTGAATTATAGAAATACGTCATATTATGACCACACCCTCCACAAATCTGGAGAGTACTGGGTATTATGTGCATTTGCTACTGTGAAATTCTTGCACTGCGAAAGTTATGTTCCAACATTTATTCTTGAGAGCGGCACTTGTTCTAATTAGATAATGGCACATTACGGTGATGGGTAATGACATGTGATAAAGAAAGTTATTCCATTACAGGTATATAGCGATGTGATAATATGTAGCACATCATGTCAGTTAAGTGACTCAGGGTTTTTTAAACTGGTGTCGGGAAGTGTATAAACCGGTACAAATGATATTATATAACAATATTGTATAATCCAGTTTCAGGAACTGACAGATCGGATTCTTTTGTTTCTTTTAGCATCTTTCCTGTGTTTTTCTTCCTTTCCTGTAATCTGCCGACGTCGATCGTCCATCTTGCTCCTCCAGATTATCCATCTAATTCCAATAAACATATCCTCTGTATCCACATACGGATCTAGATCTAGTAATATGCTTCAAGTACCATTATGTCGTACGGAAACATATAAAAAATCTTTTTTACCATCCTCTGTGATGGAGTGGAACAAGTTAGATAATGATATAAGAAACATAGATTCCGTTGCCATGTTCAAGAAACACTTTGATCGAACTGTCTCATCAAAAGTAGATCATGTCTTCAGAAACACTGGTAATAGATTTAATCAAATAATTCATTGTAAGTTAAGACTTGGCTGTAGTGACTTAAACGCACATAAATTTGACCGTTTTCTTCAAAATACATCTACTTGCACTTGTGGCCATCATTATGAAGATGCCATTCATTTTCTATTTATCTGTCCAAATTTTAATACAATTCGATCGAAGTGTTTCTATTACATAAATGGTTTTAATATTCAATCTGTACTATGCGGAAGTTACTCATATTCTGACGAAATCAATGAAAATATTGTAAAATCTGTACATGACTATTTTACCTTAACAAATCGACTTTTTACCTAATTGATTAATTATACTACTGTCTTTTTCATTAAGTCTTTTACTTCTCAAATGGCGTATTCTTTTGTCTGTACTGATGAATGTATATAAAATGTTTCCCATCGCATTGTATTTGGAGAGGTATTTTCATAGCCTTTTTACCAATCCGTTCATTTAATAATGAATAAATATTGTTTAAATCAGATTATCCAAAAGGTTTCTATTAAGAAAAGCAAATGAGTTAATTTTCATTCATCCAATAATAGATTATTACAATCCGACAAACAGTCTTTAGTTTGATTATTATCATATTCACCATGTATCAAACAAAGTGATAAGTAATTGTGGTATATATCAACTACATATATATGCATTACTGCGGGGGTGTGAGAAGATTTCTATTAACATGATCGACATGATTATGCAGCAGTTATGGACTACCTAATGGTATGCTGTGTCAATTCTACTACTAGTACTAGATAACTGACAATGAAATAATTAGATGCTAGATTTACCCAATTGTGAACAAGAAACGAGTTGATGGCAATTTTAATTTTAGTTTACATTAATGACGTCTCTAATGTTATAAAACCCAACATATATATTGATCATGATGCCGAGCAATAATAAAACTTGGGGGTAAGTTATTTTACCTTAAAGTAACCTTAAAGTAACCATTAATGGATTTTCAAGGGACTCTACGAACTTTTCCATGATTCTTTTCACAATAGCCTAAAACAAAAAGAGACACACATTTGGATCATGAACATATGTCGATTGGTAATATTTTCCACCGAAATATCATGAACTAGTTGTTTCATCTATATTTGTTGCCTTGTTGGATATAACCATTTCTTAAAATATATTTTTGTTCCGTCAATAACCTGGAAAGGCGAACAAGCCAAGTGGCTTATATAAACGCCGCTCCAGTACACGTACGGCTCCAATATAGCTGCATACATAATTGAAATAGTCCGACAAGAAAAGAATGATACTGAGACAAAATTACACGCAGAAAAATGACTGAACAATAAATATTTGGTTATCGTGTTGGTTGTGCCCAGCAACAAAATGAGCTGCAGCAGAAAATCAAGTTATAAATATCAGACTCAACGTACAGGAACACAACGGTATG